TTTCGATCCTATTGCATAATTAGAAGAGATATAATGAAGCCTCTCACGAGATCCCAGTTTCTGACCCAATAGCCGGTTAGAGGAACGATTCAGTGTGTGACATCTTGCATACGTTTACAGGTTAATTTCCAAGGCTGGATGAGCTTGGTTCGTGAAATACAGATACCCAGTCAAAGATTTCCTCGGACATTCGCGGCTAAGGAATTCCCTTATGGTAAATTCGTAAACCAAATTAAGATATTCCGGCAATAGCTGCCCCACTTTACTCATCCACCAAGTATGACATTGTATTAAGACAAATAAGCAAATTGATAAAGATACCCTGAATTAAAACTTAGTCATCCTAGTTCGCGTTAAGGTGAACTTTCCTAAAATGATATGAGTAGGCCTCCAATTACCATTGAATGTCGGTCAGTCTTGACTTCCAAAAGGCTACCTCATCCAAACTAAATTGGCCTGCATTCCGACCTTGCCCCATCGTCTCCTTCGCACCTCCAGCGGGATTCGATGCCAAGCTCCAGTGCATAGCCAAGGTGCAAAAGTGTCACAGGGTAGATGCGACATTCAAGGCAAACCAGGTATCACACACATCACATTTATAGCTCGAAAACTACTTACATCGAAAATTGAAATATTTTCTTTGGACAAACTTTCTGGAAGGTTAACAAATAGTTCAGTCATTATTTTGGACGTTTCTTTACCTATTTCAGATTTGTCTAACCGCCACCCTCGAAACTCAAAAGTGACTGCAAAACAAGTGACTCGTTTCTTTCCATGACCAGCTGTTCTAGTTGTTGTTGTGACCTCAGAGATGCCTTCTTCTTGTGTACGTGTGTATGTTACCATGTCTATAAATCCATCTAGACACGTATACAGGTTTGCATGTATGCATGGGCGTGAAGGCATATGCGTTGACTGTTGGACATTTGAGTAGGTCTGTCAAACATGTCGAGCGGTCATTTGCTCGCTCGCCTGCCCACTCGAGGCTCCGTAGTGAATGGGACAACCACGGGCTGCTGCCAATGCCGTTCATTTACAAACCGGCCACTGTTGCATATCCTACATCACCAAAATACATAGACATGCATTCATTTAAGCATCCATACACATTCACACAGACGCAAGCACGACTGCATGCTCACACGCGACGGTACTGTGGTCAGGCTACTTGTGCATGCAAAAATCTATTTGATTAATCATTTAAGCTTTGGTCAGCTTAAAGTCTGCAGTTGAGACATGGGACTTTCTGTTGCTATTCCCTGTTTGCTTGCGTTCGTGTGTCCATCACATGACATGTGTGCAGGCAAATTTATGCATGTGTCCTCTGTATGTAGCCGTGTAGGCGCGTATGGAGGTGTGTCTTTGCGCATGGGCACACGTGTTGGTGTGCATCTGCTTGCAGAAGGTGGCTAAAAGGGAATCGACGAGCACAAACCTCGCGTAGACAACTATTCACCCCTAACGTAGGTATTGCTTGGCCTCTCAAACAAAATGTCAACAATACTGCAAGCAACCGCAGCCTCAGCCGGCAGTCTATGCTGGCACGAGAGAGACGAGGAGTTGAGCAAAGGTGGCAAAATGGGAGGAACTAAACAGGGCTGGGCATGCAACACGCAAACGGACCCTGCCGGTAGCAACCTATCGCTCAGACTTTTAGTCAGCAGACTCCAACTTCGCTTGCTCCCCTCTCGACTTCCCACTCATGTGAACATCTATTCCCAAACAGACTCGCCGACTCAACTCTGCCAGCGCCTGAGCTGACGATCCTTTGTCGTCCTGGGCGGAGGAAAGATAAATTGAAATCACACGAGGTGGCTAGCTCATGCCCACCGAGTCGGCCTGGCGACGGCGCATGTGAAATTGAAGTGTGTCGACTGTGCGCTTGCGACTGTGTGCATTGACGTGTGCGCATGTCCACTTAGGCGTCAGGCGGCCTTAATCCCTGAGCAAAGACGGCGCGGCCTCTGACGCCAAGTTTAACGTTCCTCTTGCCGCTCCACTGAGGCCGTCTCGAGCCCATGCGAGATTAGCATTCAAGGCAAATGCAACCTCGTCCATCAACATCCTGAGGTACCGACAGGCGTACATGAATGCAATTAAGCACAGACAA